TCAGGGTGTTTTGTTTGAATAATAACAGCATCTCGGGGCTCCGTCGTTGCATCCGCATGCGGTCTTCTTTCAAGTGTGATCTTAGAAATGATATTTTCATAGATGTCACAAAGAGAACTCGCTCTTCTTCTGTCTGCCTCCAGCACTTCTCCTCTCCTGTCGGGGTTTAAAGCCAACATTACAAACTGCAGATCAGTAACAAATGGCTAGACGGAGAAGCTCAACTGTAAAGTTGTCCACTTAATGAGCTCACAGGTATATCACAGGTGTATAAAAATAAGCGGAGCTTTTGAGTGACGGGATAAGATGGTGGGCTGAACGCATGTCTTTTTACCGAGCTGCCTAGCTAATCTCCCAATTTAGTCTTGAAACTACACAAGTCTCACTTACGCCTACCTAAAATAGCATTTAAACACCGTATGTGTGTTTTGTGTTCTCAAAATGCGGAAATCTTCACAGCAAACTAGCCTCCCGAAGATTATCATCGGTCTCAGACGATTCAGAAATGGAGGTACAGTCCGCTCAAACAGATAAACGCCGTGACTCGTCACATTTCACCCCTACTAAATCAAACGCCTTGAAAAAATGAAGGCCTCACGACGAGGATATCACTAATGCAACTCTTCTGCAAGCCATAACTTCACTGACGGCTCGCTTTGACTCACAAGATGAAAAACTAGAAGAAATGGCGAACCAAATGCGAAGGGACAGTGTCATGATCGCAGAGATTTCCAAGGCTGTCGAGCTCAATGCCGCTGAAATTAAAGAGTGCAAAGATAAGTGCCTAGAGACCAGCAAATCCCTCCTGGGATTAACTACATCGCACAAAGACCTGGCGGGTAGAACATCTGAACTCGAGCGGTATAAAAGAAGATGGAATCTCCGGATCAACGGTATGAAAGAGAAGCCTGAAGAGGATCCCCGCAGGGAAGTGATCGGTCTTTTTGCTGAAATCGCACCGCACCTGGTTCAGAAATTAGAGGACATTGTTGACATAGTTAGGAGGAGCCAGGGAAACCAAGGCAGAAGATTGTGCAGTTTACAATGCGTAAATATAGGGATGAAATTTGGAAATCAACAAAGAACTCATCAGTCTGCCGGGACCGCGGAGTTCGATTCACGGAGGATCTGACGAGAGAGGACCGGCTGGCCCGCGCTGCGCTATGGCCTTTGATCGACCAGGCGCGTAAAGAAGGAAAGAAAGCGTACTACCGCGGACCGTTTGGTTACATTGAAGGAAAACGCATTGACTCGACATAATTATTCACCTGAACTGATTACAGGTAGAATCGTATGAGATATGACTGTTTTTGGAGACGTACTAGGTTGCGAGGTATGTTCTAGGTTCGTGGTTATACAACCTAGTGAATTTTTTGTTGTTGTTCTTTCTCATACAAGTGTTTGCACTTTTCCTTATATTTTGTACTTTTCTTTTTTTAATGTTGTTATGTTTCCAGTTAAATTGCCATTTTCTTTAATGTCACTGAATGTTAGGGGCATTCAAAAGAAGGTTAAAAGAAAAGCAATGTTCTTATTTAGTAAAAGTAATGGTTCTCACTGTATTTTTCTACAAGAAACGCACTCTGTCATAACGGATACTGCTTTTTGGTCTAGTCAGTGGGGAGATAAGACGCTACTCAGCCATGGTTCCTCCCACTCGGCAGGTACTGCAATTTTATTTAACAACTGTCCAGGAAAACTAATCTCTTCCAGATCTGATCTAAGTGGACATTGGTTAGCGGTTGTTTTAGATATTGCACATATTTTTTTCATTTTGGTTAATGTATACGGCCACAATAATGTTAAACTGAATCAAATTGATAGAGGATGATGGATTCATTTTATTTTTAGATTTCAAAAAGGCCTTTGATATGATAGAGCACGCTTTTCTTTTTAGATCTTTAGAACTTTTCAATTTTGGTGAGCAGTTTATTAGTGTTATAAAAACGATTTACAGAGGCATGAATAGTTCCGTTTCTCTCCCGTTTGGTACTACACAAAGATTTCAGATTGGCCGTGGAATAAGGCAGGGATGCCCACTGTCCCCGCTTTTGTTTATTTTCGCTGTAGATACGCTGTCCACTCTGGTTAGTCATGATTTATCTGTGAAGAAATTAAATGTATTTGAGAAAACCTTAACAATCAGTCAGCTAGCAGATGATACAACATTATTTTTACAAAACACCAAAGACCAAATTCCTCTGGCTATCTCTCTAATCAATTCCTTTTGTAAAGCTTCAGGCCTTCAACTAAATCTAAACAAATGTGAACTTTTGGCCCTACACCCCATTCAAGATTTGTCCTTGTATAACATTCCAGTTAAAGAGACGGTGAAATATTTAGGCATTTCTATTTCCAAAGATTTGAAGATTAGCATGAAAGAAACTTTTGAAAATAAAATACAAAAAGCCAATGGTATCTTGAATAGCTGGTTACAGAGAGATGTATCAATTTTCGGGAGAATTCTTCTATCTAAAGTTGAATATCCATCTAGACTGATCTATCCAGCTCTTTCTTTAGCTCTCTCTTCAGTTATTATAAAAACAAGCAATCAAAAAATGTATGACTTTATTTGGAGGCACAAAACTCATTATATTAGAAAATCTGAT